TCACGTGGGAACGTGACTGCTTTAAGTTACGCGAATTTTTCGAATATATGTATGTACAACGGTTCAATAGGAAAGAATATAGTTAAAAGATACCAATTAAATAACAGTTGAAAAGTTAGTTTTAATCGATGTGGAGTTTTAACAAATCATTTTTTTCTTACATCGTGCGCTTTTATTCTTCATCTCGGCAGATAATTCGCAGAACACGATGTAGGGGAATTGCTCGAGAGATCTCGAGTTTTAGATAACCACGGGTTATCTTCAGTTTCCGTACCGAAGGAAGCGATCATGTAATTTTCATTAAGATGGTTATGCCCGCGAGATGAATGGTCGGTACCACAGCGATGAACAGATGATTCGCGCAAATGATACATTCTAGCTGTATCTACTTCTCGAAGATTTTTAAATTTGTTACAAGGAATCGGAATATTAGTTTATTTTGTACTCTTATGATATATATCGCTGACAAAACAAAACTGTGGAATGAAATTCAACGAGGGAAAATCTTTTTAGTGTTTGTGCCGGACGCTTCGGATTATTGAAGAAATATATTTACTCTATCGAGAAAATAAGGAGATATAAAGGCGTAACAAAGTTGAACGACTCTCAACTTTCTCAGATTTCTGTAGACTATCAGATATTCGTATTTCGAAAAATCTGATTTTCAGATGTTACGCAGATTTATTTTCTGATTTTTAAATCATCAGGTTTTCAATCCTTAAAAAATTCCCAAGTTTTCTTTACAATTCCTCTAAAAATTTACCGTATAAAAACGTATAGTAAAAAACCGCGTTTATCAACAATATTTATTTCCGGCGCACGGAACTGCCATACAAAGTAATAGCTTGCGGTAGAGCCAAGAGTCCATGAGGATTACGATGTAAGTTAACCGCGAGTTATGTAACAAGCTTATAACTAAACGGCTCCTTACTCAGTAAAGAGGGAAACAATAAGCTGTTAAGCATTGCTCGTACAATTACCGGTAGTTAGAGCGTGATAAGTGATATTCAATAGCTTTCATCGTACTACCATAATTAAAAGGTGGTCAAGTATAATGTTCGCACTGCATGATTTTATGGTTCTTGAGAAACTGCAAATTAATTTCACGTAACGAGCCATTTAAATATTGTCCGCATCAGCTTCACGATCACAGACGATGACTGATAATCTATTTTTTTTTATACTGTATACAATAAAATTAAAATAACTTCTGGCAACTCAATAGCAGATTTTTTAAAGCAATCGTTAGTCTCTAGCATCGGGAAAAAAATTGTTCATTTTTTTTATTAAAACAGAGAATTACTTCGAATTTGTGTATAAAAATATTATTAATAATGTCATACTTTTTCTTGGTTCTTAATAATTTTGATAACTATTTTTATATAAACATGCCAATAAGTAGAATTGAAATGATCGAATATGATATTAGTTGGCAAGTGGAATATCAGAATCGGTCGTTTACATCAGAATATCAAAAACGTGGGTATCTCTCGATCGAAGCGAGATCAATCCGCGCGCTTTTAAAGCACGCATCTTCTCGAGGTCAGATTAAGAAATCGAACTTCAGGCCAGCACGTCTGGTCAGTAGCCGGCATCTGAGAAAGGAGAGATCGCAGGTGTTGCGTAACATTCCGAGGTAATTTATACCACTCATGGTTAACAAATACCACGTACCGTAGCTTTGTGTGAGCAGCGCGAGTTATTTTGCACTCTCTCCTTGGTATGCGAACTATAAATTGCCGAACAAACGTTGCGTTTGCGATGTTGACCCTTCCAATCGCGGTGCTCATTGCCTTCGTGCTAAGATTTATTTACACTACGCGATCCAAAGATGATATCTCACAATAATACACGCGCGTACAATCCGCTCCTATAATCGATACTAATGGTTGAATTGATAATTGAGCCGTATGATTTTACAAAATTGTTTCAAGGTAGCTAAAAGTTAAATGATTTAAAGAACGTTCACGTTTGATACGATTATCTGTATGACGTAAATTAAATATTTGTTGTTATTACGCGTTATGGGCCTTTTGCTTTCTTAACAAAGGTTGCAAAAGCGTAAATAAATCTTAATTTGTGTTAAGTTATGGGCCTCCGTAACTCCGTTCATTGCTTGCAGAGAGAAACGGTTGCAAAAGCTATGCGAAGTAGAAACTGTAATCGTGGAGAAATTATGATCGTTGTCGAGCAATATTCATCAATACCATGTTGAACTAATTGGTGAGAAATCGTGAAAGAGAGAATGCGGATATTACGGGTATTTGAACAGTGTATGTTTTCCGCTGTAGGAAATAACAGGGATGGAAATGGAGAGATAGGTTGCTGTTTATTTAATTGCACTTTTAGTACTTGATCGTAAATTAAGAGAAAATAGATCTGCAAATTGATGGGGGCCGGAGTATTGAATCAACAGAGTTATAACACATGCGTCCATGAATAAATGGATCGAAAATTATGTGCAAGTGAGAGCAAAGGAAATATTTGCGTCAAATAAGAGATTCCGAATAAACTGAAGATGAAGACAAACTGAGGTTCAAAGAAGGAATAAGGACGATTTAACATTATAACGGGACGATTGACAACATAAAATGTTTCAAAAGTATAATAAACCGTTAAATGAAGATTAAAAGAAGCATTAAAAAGCGGCCTTGATTTAGCCTGTCTATTTATTACAATGTTTCCTCTAATATAATTCTTCAGAATAAATAATTCGCAATCGACACGTGTAAACAGGTCTTCTGTTCGAATATTGAGTAACTCAAGGTCATTGAGGATCGTCATTGAATGCCACCGGCATCAAATTTCTTGACCAACGAAATTCTTGAAGGCTCGTATTCAAACAAAATTTTAACAAAATTGAGAGTAAGAGGCAAGATTGTTAAAAATCTTTTTTTTTTTTGTACTTTTTATTTGCAACAAGAGAGAAAAAGAGAAAGAGAGAAAAAAAAGGAAAGAGACAGAATGAAAGAGAAAGAAATGTAATATAAAATTATTTACCAGTACCGGTCGATTGGGAAAGAACCGAACAATGTATAAGTATTTCTATCATTTTTTTTTCAGCCGTAAATGATATTTACGTTTAACATTAGGATATTTTCCACGATATTGCACTTTAATGTGCAGTATGTGTTGCGTCCGATGCTTTAGATGGCAATTTCAAAATTGCATCATTAGCGTCCTACATTTAATTCGGGAGTGAAAGCATGCTGACCGATTTATACGCAATGAAGAATTCCCAATGATGCTGAACCTCGTAAGAATTATATAATAAACCGCTCGAGTTAACGCATAGCTGATACAATACATTTGGTTTCCGACAAAGGAATCAATTTGAAAATTTGAAAATATCATATCGATATTAACGGTCTGTTTGCTAATGAATAAAATATGCAAATGTAAGTCGGTCAATGTCAATTAACTAGTTTTACATACTAGTTTTACATACATACTAATATGTTCTTATACATGTATATGCTCGCCGACAGAAAGGTTGTCCGATTGAGTTTCGGAATAACCTATTTTTATAGCATCCTATTTATATTTAATATCCAGCTATTCCACGTGTCAGCAATTACCAATTCTTTTAACATTTCAATATATTTGACATCTTGTTTGTCTGCTCTAATGAATCTAAAGTTAATAATAATATTAATTATCGATGCAGCAAGTGTCGAAACGCTGCACGCGCTGACTTAAGAACAAGATAAAGGTTTTTATTATACATTAAGAAGACATAATTTGTCGCAAAAAATGTTGACGTCATCTACTAACAATACGCACTTCACGATATCATTTCAACATTAAAAAGACTATATTAATAATCATCTAATTATTATTATAGAAATTTCTGCGAAGCGTCCTAGCATAAGAATAACAAAGGTCTCTGGACATTATACATTCTTATATAGATTTATATATATAAAATGTTTATATATATACATTATAAATTATAATACAATATAAATATAATTGAAAACTAATTATAATAAAGATACCATCAACTCTCCGATTAATATATAGACAGATATATTTGACATCTAATTATATATACATAAATCTATCTTTATGCAGTAGTGTCAAAGATAATATAGATTAACCAAACCTTGATGTTAAGATCTTTTGATACTAATCTTAAACTGTTGCCACGAGAAACGTGTTTTATAATATATTCTCCAAGTTATCTACGTGCTTCGTTTGGTTTTTGTTAATATAATTTTCTCATGCATATATGGACGAAATTGGATTGTTAAAAACTTGGCAAAAAGTAATTTTGGTTTATCTTATACAATCATCTCAAATAAGCAAGTTTTTAATAGTTGAATGGCAATTTTTGTTAATGAAAAATTGTCATATTTACAGCACAAAAGAATAAGTAATAACATACCAAATAAGAATTACACATCGTTTCTTATTTTAATAATTCTTCAAAATTCAAATTGATATATATAAATATCTCTGAAAAGCATTATCAATGAAAGAACATATGTATGGACTGCATTTACAGCACAAAAGAATAAGTAATATACTAAATAAGAGTTACACGTCGTTTCTTATTTTAATAATTCTTCGAAAATTCAAAATAATATATATAAGTTTCTCTGAAAAGCATTATCAATGAAAGACCATATGTATAGATTTTATTTACAGCACAAAAGAATAATTAGTAATAGTATGCCAAATAAGAGTTACACATCGTTTCTTATTTTAATAATTCCTCGAAATTCAAAATGACATATAAGTTTCTCTGAAAAACAAATTATATCAATGAACATATGTATAGATTTTATTCACACACAATGTCGGCAATACTTGATACTCGGCACTAATTTTCAATGTAGGTCAATGCTTGTTCTATGAGAAATACTGGGTACCTATAGTGTCGACATCCATTAAAAAAAAATCGTTTGCGCAAACATGCATTGAGCATATGCGTACATTTAACATCGGTGCGTTTTGACACCTGCACCGTTAACGCTACTATCACTTTTTTTTTGCAGGCAGGATAGCAGCGATCTGCCTAGGTCTTCTTGCACTTGTGATCGGTATAGTGCTCAGTAGCATACCGTGGGTCGATTACCTCATCTTGAAAGTAAGTATATGAAACTTTGAGTACATACAATCGTAAAATGATTCGATAGCTCATAAATATGTAATACAGTCATCGCTCGACGTTTTAAAAAACTGTGTACTTACTTATTTATCGGTATTAAGAAGATTTAAAAAATCATGTATATTACGTGAGCATGTAATAAAATCTTTTATTTGTATTGTCAGGATATTTTACAAATTGCAACGAGTATATATTTATCATCTTTGAAAAGAATAAGAAAGAGAAGAGATAAAAGAGATACAGATTAACTTATATTGAATTTTTGAAATTTGCAATTTTGCTGGCGATTATCTATTAATTTAATCGTGTTTAATCGTAAAACTGTTTTTGTATTCTAGTTTGCTTTCTGTTTTTACTTTCGAATTTAATGATGTGAGATTATATTGAGATAAAACTAGTATATTTAGACAAAGTAAGTCTCGCGCAATGAATACTTAATATTTTTTACAGCATGCATGTGCGAAGTGCATTAGCATTCGCAGTAAATACCTTCGCGAATGTCTTTCATTGTCCAAAGCCATATTACGCATCCATATATGTCGTCTGCAGATAATTTATGCCTGCATATGCAAATGACTGTCAGTACAGCAATTATGAATCAAATATATTCGTACAATTTTTGTTTGAATAGTGCTATTTGCACAACTTTAATTCAGAGATTGTGATAAATAACTCTCTTTTAATATATTAAAACTAACTTATTATATTATTAGTATTATTATAAATTATCACAATTAACGAATTATTGGAGTCAAATGTATGACTTATTGTTGGAACTGTTAGCAAAAATTAATACGCAGATTCTCTACACGATTTCTTCTAACATTATTTCACAAGTTCTAACGTTTCAACTATCCGCGAGATTAGATCAATCTCCGGAAAAGCGATTGGATTAATCCGTGTTTTGTTGTTTAATTGCTACAAGTTTTGCAACATAAATGGAAATTTATTTCCGTTCTTAAACTTTCCCTTTCCGTACATTTCCTTGTTGATTGAGAAAAACAGCAATCTGTATTTATAAAAAGAATGAAAGTGACTTCCCACATCTTAAGAAAACAGTTGAGTTCTTATTAAACTTGTATTTATTTTTCTATTTTTAATTTCTCCGGAAATTATATGAATGCAAAAACTTATCCATGTAAGAATACCAGGTGCTTCACGGAATGATCGGTGCGAAATAACGTTGCTCGCTAATAATCCAATTTTCTCAATATTATGAAAACTCTGATCACATTTCTCTTCGAGTCGACTAACGACTATTTTGCATAAAAATATCACGACAAATTACTCTAAAGGTAACGCAAACGTGCACGTGTACAAATTGCAGTTTTAATGTGAGAGAAGCCGTGTATATATGCTGGTAATAATATCGGCAATTCACCTGCTGCTTTTCCAGCAACTACGACTATGGAACGGCTCGCTCTCCTTTCAATATTGGCAGAAGCCAGGCGTAATTCGATTGACCAAAGTCTATATATTTAACGTAACCAACACGGAGGGTTTCCTGCAGTATAACGAGAAGCCGAAACTCCAGGAAGTTGGCCCGTTCGTATATCGGTAAGTCTATTTACAATATTTAGTGCTGAGACAATCGAATAAGGGTCCCTAAAAATCGCATTCAAATATATTTTTTCTTTGAATGGTTACGCACCTTTAGTTTCAGTTTAATTTTTAACTTCACTTTTGGTTCTCAATTTTTTTAACATCTTCCATTAACATTCTCATGTAAGTCTGCAAACTGTCTGCACAATCCGGATTGTGTATTTATAGGCGCAGCTTTGTTAGACAACACTAATCAATGAGAAAACTGAATACTTTTTGCAGAGAGGATATGGAAAAAGTTAACATCGTGTTCCATAATAACGGAACGGTTAGTTATCAGCATAAGAAAATTTTAAATTTTGTGCCTGAAATGTCTTTAGATGGAGATATCAAATTGATGGTGCCGAATATACCTTTGCTGGTGAGTTTACAATGTAGAAGTAAAATACATTTTTATCAATCCAGTATAATTAAGAGCGCTTATCAAAAATTTAAAGGTATACGTAAACACTTCTTTTCTTTGTAGACACTTTCGACGCAAAGCAAGAGTCTCCCTCGTTTCATCACAATGGGATTGTCGATTTTCTTGAGCGGAATGCACATGAAACCCTTCGTTCCTGTAACTGCGCAGGAATTAGTCTTCGGGTACGACGACCCATTAGTTAGCCTTGGTCACAAATTTCTTCCCAAAACAAGACGGCCCATGAGCAGAATGGGCCTTTTTCTCGGAGTAAGTGTTACGCAGTAATCATTCACATATTTGCTTTCTATATTCTTTTTATGCAAATAATTGGGTCGTTGTGAAATATTTGGTATGCGTCAACATACTTGTCTAGCAATTTATAACCGAAACTCTGATTGTAGAGAAACGGTACCTTGAGCGAGATATCTACGATATTTACTGGACACACGGATATGAAAGAGTTCGGTTTGATAAATCGATTGAACGGGCTCGATCATTTGCCGTACTGGCCAAACGCACCGTGCAATTCTATTACGGCTTCGGAAGGTAAGCCGTTCTTTATTTTATAAGACAGAACGACGTGCTAAAAAATTTTAATGAAATATTCAATCGCTTTAAATTTTTATAGCAGTAAAATATAATTGGACTGTCGAATTTGGAATGTTCTTTTTGCAGGATCTTTTTTTCCGCCGCGGGACCGGACTGGTGCGGACATCATTCACGTCTGGGACAAGGATCTCTGTAGGACATTGCCGTTACAATATCGCGGCCCGGTAGAGAAGGCGGGCATTAAAGCGGATTTGTACACTCCGCCGGATGTACTTTTCGGTCGACCGAACGAAACAGCGCCTACTGAAGATGAATGCTTCTGCTCGGACGGCATTGCCAATTGCCCTCCGCAAGGCTTGCAGGATATTAGTCCGTGTCAATACAGTAAGTGTTCCAGATTTTACAAAATTAATAGAATTCTTAAACATTCTTCGAATTTTATTAACATCCATGCTTTTTATTTCAGGTGCACCAGTATATCTCTCGTTTCCACATTTTTACAAAACGGATCCTAAATTGTTAGATGCTATTGACGGACTCAAGCCGGTCGAAAAACTGCACAGATCATATTTCAAAATCCAGCCAGTAAGTAAAGCATAGAAAAAAATCCTACAAATCCTAGATATGTTAAGCTTTCTTTATTATTTTATTAACACAATCAATTTAATTGTCTATTAATTAAGATTGACATTAATAAATTAAAATATGAATATGTAAATAGTAAAAATAAATGGTAAAAATACCATGTCTAAGATCTAAGATAATCATGATTCTTTTTTTTATTTCCTTATAGAAACTAGGAGTACCGATCGAAGCGAAGGTTCGCGTCCAGTTGAATCTGAAAGTAGAACGACAGCCCAATATCGCGGTGGTCGCGAATTTTCCCGACATAGTCTTCCCGATCATGTGGGTCGAGGAAGGCATGGAGGAGCTCACGCCGTCCATCAGGCGGTGGATTTACCTGGCGACCACGTTCGCCGACATCGCTGTGCCCTGCTTGACGTACGGCATGATTCTAGTCGGACTAATAATTATCATTACGGTGTTCGTGAAGGCGTACAATAGTCCGGTATTGGCGCACGAGGCGATCGAGCTCGGCAAGAGGACCATCAGGAGAGGCTCGTCCTTCTTGATAAATGGCCAGCATCGACTGTTGGCGGGTCGGGACTCCTACATTTTGCTAAGCAACAACGATATTGATGAGAAGCAGGACATTATAGAGATGTGATGGATGTTGTTTGTGCGTGAATTCTAGTATATTATAGAAACGCTCATGCTAATTATAGAGCGAGCGCATAATTAATGACGCCTAGTCTCGATTTCTCGTGAAGTAAATTAATCTCGATATTAATAAAAATTCGTTGGAGAGACAAAACGAATTTCTTTTTTTTATTGCTCTCTCGAGGATCGGACTCTGATGATTATCGAAGGAACTTAGGATTGCAGTGTTAAACAGAATTCAAGAATCTCAGGAACTAAGGCAATTAAGATCTGAGATGTTTAGGATTTAAAACGCATGACACTCAAGGCACTTAAAATCCGGGACATCTAGAATCTAAGTAATGTAGAATGTAATTAACTTGGATTTTAATTAATATGTAATTTAAGGTATTTAGCGGGATATACAGGACTTGCGCGAAGAATACAAGAACTTTTTATCAAGACTTTAATCATTAATAAAGTATATCTTAAGAACTCTTATACAACTTTTCTTTACGCAACTTACTGAAAGATTACGAGCCTTTTATTTAGGGTGTATTCGGTTTTACAATTTCACCAGACAGAAGCAGAAACTATACGTGGTGTATGTCTAGACTGTAGTTAAGATTCAGAAAACTTCGGCGTTAGTTATTTAAAATGTTCGGAGCCACATATCATTCAAATTGGATTTAAGCATTCCGAGTATTTAAATTCTTAATATTTCGGAATTAAAAAATTAGACGAATTAACGTACGTATGATAAAATTGTCATCTAATATGAGATGGCTGATTTATCTTGTTTAAAAATCGGCATTAAAAATTTAAGCTAGGCGTCATTAATTGGTATGGCATGGTGAAATATAAAATGCGTTTTGTTTGACTGCGTACACCAAAGTTTTGCTTTCGACGGTTTAGATGGACTAATTAACCAATTGCGAAATACGCGCAGCCGAAATTGGTTTGTATTTCGTATATGTAAAAAGTCTTGTTCATTTTACACGGATTTATTCAGTTGAAACCCGCGGAAAGTTTCGTTGTTTAATGGAATTCAAATTCGCCAAAGAATATATATATATAATATATATAATATATACATATATAATATATATATATATATAATATATATATGTACGTGTATCCATGATCTTTCACAATATGTGAAAGTAACATACAATCATTATAATACTTTATAGCAATAATGAAGTGTAATACAGTAGCATTATCCATTATTAATTATGGAAGAAAAGACAAAACTTTTGGGGTTTGACGGGCGCTTATGGATTATACACTATAATCAGGAATTACCTGATGATATAATTTTCAGTATCGCGAAAGATCCCAAGATCATGTTAAATATGTTATTGTGTCTGTGATTCCGTCCTTATTTATATATAATATGCAATATGCACTTGAATATAGAGAGCAACGAGGGGAAAAGCTTCAACAAGCAATTATGTGAATGGATGAAACTTTCACTATAGTAGCGATCGCGGCATGATTGCGGCGTAAGACGATGCTTCCTCTCAACATGTCTCACTCGTACTCGGCCATAAAATCTAGTGCAATATTAGTAATCGTATGTTAAGTATACCATTCGCCGCCAACGTGTGATGAAACAACGTCGATTAGAAGTAAGGTCAGTTGCACCGACAACTTTATAGCGCTACATGTATCTGCGTAAAGCTAATTTCGGTTAAACGATCGGAGAGGAGCGCAGCTCTAGCTTTAAAAAAGAATGTTGAAAAGGCAAATTTAGATAATTGCGGTTAATGTTAATCGACGTCGGTGCGTTATAAGTTAAACATGTTTCGAATCAAATGAGTGATACATCGTGGACGTAATGCGACTGCGTATCACATTTTTAGTACTTGTAATCTATTCCGAAGATAAAAACAGTGTAAGGTAAACTTGTTATTGCCAGAACGGAATTTTGTAATTGGATTTTAATAAAATATGTTTATCCAGATATCACTGTACAGCATCAGTTATCTACGTTACTTTATATGCTATTATACAGCATGTAAATTTATGCGTCTTTCTTATTATAATGGAATCAATTAATTCTTATGCGTGAATTATATATTTACATTGCCCAAGAACGTTATTAATGTAATCGGTGTTTTTTATTCAAGTTTTTCGTCGACATAAATAAAAGAAATTGACGCAATACCTATACGACCTATGCTAATTCTATGTAAATCCATCGGTCGATAAAGACTTGTTTGCGTCTTGATATAGATTATCGGAAATTTCCGGTTCCATTATGTTTTGGTCCCAGCGACGAACCTATCGTAAGTTTTTTTTTATAAAAATATAATGAATTGTAATGTCTCTTCGAAGTTTCTTCGATCACAGGATTGTGCACGTTTTCGACTGGAAAGCAAAAAAGTTATTTAATAATAATCTTATTGTAAAGTAAAAAATTTATATTAATTAATATATCCTTTGTAAAATATGTTTCATTTTAGTTGTACCTTAGCTTTCGGATTCGCTGCGCTGCTTGTATTCTTAGTTCCATTCTGCACTTCTTGCCGTTTTCCTTTAAACAGCTTTGCCATCTTAGCTAGAAAACAATAATCCATTGCGCAATTTTTATTTCTGAATTTAATTCTATTTCATAGTAAATTTTTATTTAATTCTTGAAAAATAAAAGACGCTTGTTTTACCTGTTCGCGGCGGCGGAGATTGCACTACGTCAGCATCGTCCTGCATGCCGTCTGTTTCCGCTTTCTCCGGTTTGTCAACGTGTTCATCTTCTTCGACTTTTTCTATGGAATTCTCGATAGCTTCTATGGTTTCCCTCGAAATTGCTGATGTCGATTTTCTAGCTGATTTTGCACTTGAATTTTGTTCGTTGCTGGTCTTCATCTCTTTGTCATCTTTTTCTTTTTCATCTTCTTCGTTCTCCTTTGAAGATTCTTTTCCGTTCGTATCTTCAACACTTCCAGATTTTAATCTCGGTGGTTTCGGCGGTGGTGTAGGGTTCGTCGTCATTTTCTGTCCCTTTTCCTCCTGTATTCTCGAGATTTCTGTTTTTGTACATAATTCCTCTACGTCTTGTGTTACTGTTGCTGCCATTTCCATATTTTTATTATTTTCTTGTTTTTCATTATTTTCACTAATATCTTTACTTTCGTTGCTTTCAATATTTTTATTCTCATGGCCTTCATCATCGAGATGATCTTTTTCTTGCGAGCTTTCTGGAGTAATTTCTGAAGATACATTCGCGACTTTTTCGTCATTCGCTGAAGATAACATTTCTTTGTTATTTACAATATTTTCTTTTGATAAATCTTTCGAAGCATTTATTTGAGTATCATTAATATCAGATGTTTCACTATTTTGATCTGGATGGTGTAAATCATCCTTTTCATCTGTCGATTTCTCCGTGTTGCCCACTCGATGTTCATTTTGCATATTTATAGGAAGCTTTAAAGGAGGTAGAGAACTATTTTTCTGCTCCTGAAATCGATAAGAGACTCATAAACATGTCTCATTAATTTAAATAATTAAAAAAAAACTAATAATTTATTTTCTATGCGTGAATATGTGCATAACTTAAGTTGCGTTTACCATCGAGTCCGATTGCCGTCGTGATTGATAATCTATCTCATGTCTTCGACCAATTAATATTGTATGACATCCTCCGCAAGCAACCTATTAGTTAAGAAATAAAATAAGCAAACAATTAGAACGCGATAAAAAGTGTGACATACATATTTATTCAAATTGATAAGTAGAGTTACATCTGAAACGAAGAGCTCCTGATATTTGGCAGCGAATGTTACTTCGTGAACGTTATTTTCGTTCTCTTCGAGACCCAACTTTCCGTGTCGGCCGTCGCCACAGGTAAAGAGCTTGCCGGACTCTGTTATTAATAAATAATGTAATTACCGACGAGGGGTTTAAGGATTTCAAGAACACGATGATCGCAGCAGAATTTTAATTACCAGTAAGTATAGCGCTGTGACTTTCACCGCAAGCAATCTTGACGATCTTCTCGTCTTGAAGAGCCCCGCGTGAAAGAAGTTTTGGCGTGTGTGTCTCGTTAACATTTGTGCCCATACCGAGTTGCCCGCTGGCATTACTGCCGGAGCAGTAAATATTGCCATTTTCTAAAAATGTATACAGTCAATTTTTATAAATCTCGCACTTGGCTGTGTTATTAAAAAAAAATTAAAATATGAAATCGAAATTTCTAGCCGCTGAGAGATCCGCAAATATACACGCCGTTCAAACACAAGTAGCGTTCAAAGTATATCGATTTCAAGCTCTATCGATCTCAACCTGCTAGTATGAGTGTGTGATGACCCCCGCATGCGACGTGAAGTGCCGTCGCCGGTAATTGCATCTGCTTCGGTGCAACTTGCGTAGAAAAGTTGATGTTGATTCCGAGTTTACCACTTTCCGACTCGCCGCAGACATAAATGAGTCCGCTTTCTGGAAACGAGTCATGTCGCCGAATTATATACACGCTAATGTATTTTACAACCTCTCGTGCTCGTGCGAGTCGTTATAAGCGTGGCTGTAACGGAAGCGATTTTATCTTGCGGAAAGTGTGCTGTGACGTCTCAGAATACTTGGACGGATTCTTGGAACTCTATTTTATTTTTCCCGGCTCAACATCTTATAATTATTTTATCTTTTTTCTTCTAAGCGAGTATGAAAAAAGATATTACGTAGAAGAAAAATATAAATATGTTTCTGTTCATTTGTGTTGTATTACATATATACTTCAAACTATTATATAATCTGTTATATCAGAAATAAGTATTGTCATCGAGCATCGCATTACCAGTCAAGAAAACTGAATGATAATATCCCGCGCTGATTTCCTTCACCGGTTCGGGAATGGGGACCTTCGTAGGCTTGTTAACCAAACCTGAAATCCCTGGCAATCCTAATTGTCCTTCCAGATTGCTTCCCCAGGCGACAACTCCGCCGTCGCTTGTCAGAACCATCGAATGATGCGATCCCGCTGCAAGTTGGACGATCCGGGGCCCAGCGAGACCACAATCGTAGACCAAGATTGGAGAACTGGAGCTGTCACCTATCGCGGAATTTTCCCGACCCAGTTGACCTTCTTGATTGCTGCCGCACGCGAAAATTTTCTGAGCTCCTAAAAAATTATTTCGATACAACTGTGTAATTTGTTCATTAACTAAAAAACCGTTTGCACATTTTGCAGCGAACCGTGAGAAATAATTTATAGCCTTCGTTCACAAAGAGTTAATTAAGATAGACTGATAAAATTGGCTGTAGGAATATGTTCGCTATTTGCCTGAAGCAACTTTAATCGATTGATAAATTAACATTTCGAATTCCTACTTAGAAAGCTAGCGAAGTGGCGTGCCATTTAAGAGAGTGCTTATCCAGTTGATCCCTTCAAACGAGAACAAGTTTGAGGTTGAATGACTCGGCAAATATTCGCCGAAGTTCGTGACACGCAAAGCCACATATATAGAAACGGCATGCTCACTTAATACCTCGCATCTGCTAATGACAGCTATATGTACATACGTATGAGGGGTGTTCTGTTCCAGACATCGATCGTGTTTTTACGATCTATTGCTTTGGTAAATAGAGAGCCAATTATTTAATCGAAGACTGACTTTTTATTTCTCACGATTTAAATCCTTATATCTGTTGCATTGAGAAAAATTGACAGATATAGATTTGTTTATTATCGAGAGAAAGTGCGATTGAAATATATTTCGTATATCTATTATGATATACATTCGGCTACGCATCACTCGTTTCTCACCTGTACATATCAAGGTGTGCGCTCTCCCACATGCCACATGCGTGACTTTTTCCGGTTTCAGAACTAAAACACATTGGACTCTCGATAAAATCACGAGTAGCAATTCGTTGAAACGGAATGTTTTTAAAGAAATTAACCTCGACATTTATAAATGATTATAAATTGATTTTCGACACATACGAAGTGGCTTTAAAAAACTCATAAAAACTATTCTTAATGATATATTAACAAGAAAAAGATGGCAGCATTTAAACGTAGAGAACGTCATCTTATTAATATTTAACACGTTAGCTATATATATCGTGTCACACCCCATTTGCAATAAGATGCCGTGTAAACACCCGGCGCGCGGCGTGTCACTACGTCTTATTTTATATTATAATCTTTCCATCAGAAAAATACTGTAAGTTATTTCGACAGTTACATGGCTCATCAAGAATGCCTGTTTTTTTTTACCAACGTAAGAGACGTAGTAGTATAATATTATATATATAAAAATATATATAACTCAGTAGTATAATAGCCAATGTGTTAAATTTTTTGCTGCTACTATAAGGTGGCTACAAACTTTTTACACACGATGGTTTGCTAATATGGTTTTTGTGACCCAGACCCAGTTGACCCCAATCGTTACTGCCAAAAACAAAGAGTCTGCCGGTTTCTGAAATAAGAAAAAGACCAAGGCAGTCCAAGCAAAATTGAAGAATACATTTAGTTAGATTATATAATCTCACAGAGACTATCCTTAACATTAGGATAATCTTTAGATTAAGATAACATTAAGATAAATTGCATTTACGTAACATAAGTATTCGAGGAATCTATAGAATCTAAAAGTACTTAGAGGTATAAATCCACGAGTAGTAAACACATATAGTTACATAATTTTAATTACGGTACTAAACAGACAGCATGTTGCAATTGCACATGCAAGTAAATTTCAAGATCCAAAAATGAATCAGAGAAATTATGTGGAGAAATGGCGAGAAATACATAAATACGTTCTTTGTCGCTTGGGTAACAATAAAAAAAACGAGCAAAATAAAATTTGCATCGCAAATAAGATAAATAAAATATTAACCGATATATTTAGTGAATAATTGAGGGATTTATGAGATATTTTATGACAATATTACATCATTCTTACTATTAATTATAGCCTCTCTTTTATTTTTACTATAGCGAGATTTTTTTATGTGCAAGGGAAACAAAAATACAACATATTTCATCGGAACGCGTTGAGCTAATAACACCAACAATGTCGGCTACGCCGACCACTGCGTGTTCAATATCGATTTACCGGGCAGTGGATATTTCTATGTAAGCATAGCTGAACTGTATATACTCTTTACATAGCATGTTACAGAAGCTGTAAATCACGCAGAATCATCATACGGTCTTGCATTATAAAGCCCATAAATTTCAAAATGTTATTATTAAAATTCGAGATTTTTAACGCGTCTTATTGTCGATAAAAATCGGGCTGTATAATGCAAAATATAAGAACAAGATAATATTTTGCGACTAAATTTAGAAAAAAAAAACAAGAAAAAAGATAGCATTTTTGTCTTTGTTTATTAGTAAGTATCTAACTTTGTCTGCCAACATTGCTCATTATGAATACATGGTTTACAGTCAACGTTACACCTCGCAACATTGATTAACGATATTCGATAGAAGGTATAACCAACTGTATTGTCACTCTTTTTTTTATTAGAGTTATTATTTCTTTCCGATAATCCAAGTTAGATCGATTTCAAGTTGAGTTTGAATTATTTGGAGCCAATATGGTATCTGAACCTACTGCTGGATTATATTTGATTATCGGATTTAAACTTGCAATTAGACCGTTGACTGCTTTTCAGGCTGATCGATTATAAATTGCTCTGTAAAGGAACAGATTTAAATACTTACGACAAACAACGGCAGAGTGCTCATCTCCACATTCAATGACGACAACCGGATCCTTGCGTATGAAGAAATGCGACGCAATGTTGTCCGCGAATCTGCTACGGCCGATCGTGAACACCGCCCCAGTCTCTACAACGTACAAAGATCGATACATCGTTAAATATTGAAGGCAGAATGAATCAATCTTTCTATCTTTGAAACACGTGATTTTTTGGATTAATATTTGATTGATCTTGCCCTTAAATTTTGCTCTGAAATAATAATTACGCGAACCTCTTTTTAGAACTCTGTTTTGAGTAAAAATTTGTGCTTAAAATTCTCTAATAAATCTGTACTTGAGGCCACATCTTTATTTTATTATTATTATTATTATATTATCGTCGCTATCATCATTATTGTTATTATTATTATCATCTTTGAAAATTTATTGCAACGTTTGCAACATGCTCGATTGCAATCGTTGCAGATTAGTTTTTCGCGAAGTTTATAAATGCATTATAAGTATATCTGTATTTGATGTATTTGCATGTGAAGCTATAGCATTGTAGCAATCTTTAATCTCCGACTTGAACAGAAGTATATTTAATGTTTCCAGATTCTTCAAGTGTATGCTAACATATATATATATATATAAGAAACGTAATCTTTAAAGTTTCCTTTAGAAAATCGATCTACACTTTACCATTGTTTTCAGGAAAGGACATTGTCGAATCGTTACGTTTATTTATGTATGTTAATATATGTTCACGGTATATAACGGCATTAATACAGTACAGAAATAATCTCTCGACGAGCTAATTGCCGGAATCGTCTATGGATTTTTCTATTTCTGCGTACAATGGGCGGAGTCAGTGGAGTGTTATGAATATGTTGAGTACGGTAACGAGCTACAGTTGAGTGTTAAGTTTTATCGCTGCATAACCTTGGCATAAATTAGGTTTAAAAGCCAACGTGGAGTAAAAAGGACCGGAAAAGCGTTAAGACACCGAATGCCGTCTCAACACGAGATTAACGGTAGGGTATTTCGGTCTCCCTTTACAAAGGTCAATAACGTAAAACCGGCGATAAATCCTTCGAGATTTACGCTTACGTTTTGCTTATCAAAAGTTCAAACGGCGGCCTTTTGCATAATTCATTACGCATCTGTCCTTCATTGGACAACACGAACCATCTCATCATCTTGCTAAAGACTCTTTCAATATATTGCAAAATTATAATGAGGAGTTGTAAGTTGTAATACTCAATTATAGTACTCAAATCTTACCTTGAAAGTATATTTCTTCAGAGACCTTTAGAAATCTTCTCTTAAATCTTTAAACTTGAAAACTTTCATATTTTCTCAACATTGCAGATTATTAATTCTCAAATCTCATCCAAATTTTAGCTTGCATAGTTCTTTAAATATTACCTTTAAATTTTATAATTTTTTAAATCTTATATCGTATTTAGATCCTTTCGCATCTTTTATGTCCTTTTCTATCGATGTAAGGTAAAGGTACCAATACCTGGACATGTACCTATATCCGGACACCTTTATTATTTATAAGTATAACGCGAATTAAAATCAAAGATAAAAGTATTTTTTCTTGTAGTCTGAAACTTCAGTTATAATAGTCAAACGTTTATTTTCATAAATTTATATTTTTTTAAAGGTATCCAGACACAGATACGTGTCCAGGTATTGGTACATTTCCTATGCTTAAGTGTCCGGGTATTGGTACCTTTACCTTAAATTAATTTTAATCGCGGTTGAATTTTATTTTTTTCTAGTTCTAAAAATTAGCAAAAGATAAAAGATAAGTTAAATCGAAATTAAAGTTAATCAGTATATGATAGAAATGGACATTAAACTACATTATTTATACTAATGTCATAATTTTTTGACTTGTAAAAGAAGAATCATAAAATTATGGAAAGACAAAAGCAAACGTATTCTACTTTCATGAAAGATTAATAGTCCTCGAGAGGTTCGCATATTTTCCTAGGTTATTGACCCATGCACAGGTCGGTTAATAGCCGCCAAATTGCTCGGCAAAGCAATGTATGTATACATACATATAATCTACGGTAGTCGATAGCGATCCTACGCGAATAGCAATTCATTCATATGTAACACATTCAAAATGCAAGCAGACTAGGTCATATCGAAGGCACCGGTGGATACCATATGTCTGCATTAAGAAACTATATTCTATCCAAAAATGCAAACAATTTAAAAGATAGAATTTTATTCTTTCTACAAGAAAATGTGAATATCTGTAGATAACAACGTGCGTTACATCTATAAGAAATATTTTATTACAGGATATATTTAGGGAAGAAGTAACAAGTCTCGCTTCATGTTTAATTCATTCTCATGCCGCTTTACTACGTATCGAACGAGCAACTTGAGACGCGCCGTTATTACAAAACGTACGAGTTTATCAGACGAGTTAAGTGGCATCCTCGCGGGAGTTTTTTGTCCCAGCTAATTTATCGAACTTGCAATAATAGCGCGCGATAACGCCGGCCAGTAAGTTAATGCATGAGTACGAATGCACGCGTATGACTCGCATGAAGCACGATGGTGGCATTAGCCGATTAACGACCGGATTGTGCTGGTAGCGGCGCGCTCCTAAGCGACTAGCTACTGTCCGCTATTGAGGACATTCAACGCCACGCGAATTAAAGCGCCGACTAAATAATTATAGAGGCTTTGCGAGCTTATTTGACGAATAAATTGCGTGCCGTTGACTATGTTCGCAAGGGAAAAAACTCGATTATTGCAGACGTCTCTTCGTTCTACAAGCTGTGTATATACAGTGCTCGTGAAACTTAAGCTTAACTTAAATCGCGTAATTGCAATTTTCGCGACCCACCCAATTATCATTTGTCATCGAGTGACTGACGGTGAATCCCGCGCGACTATACACACTCGCGATCGCTCGATAGCAGCAAGACGTATCGATTTTAGTTTGTTCACGCCGTTCACGCGGACACGGTACGGCGAAACAAAGGGGCACACGTCGGCGGGGGTTTTAATAATGCCGGGGGTGCTCTGTGCCCGTCGTTCGAGGGATCGATCGCCGCGCGGCCGGCGTTACGGTGATCCAGAATATGACATAAAATTTGCAAATGCGTGACGAATTTGTGCGTGCGTGCGTGTGGAAAAAAATTCCTCTTTTCCTTTCTCTTTTTCATGTGTGTAAGTGCTATCTTTTTTTTCTTTTAAATCGTTTTACCGGGTATGGTCTCTATGTCCGGCAGGCCCATGCTTGCACCTTGCGCCGCGCAAACTTGCAGCCGACTGACCGCCAGGTAAGCAGGCATGCTCGCCTCGCCGGTGCTGGGCGCTTTCAAGCCGGCCACGTATCCTAGCAACTGGAAATCAATTTCTAATGGCAACACGCGCCGCTGCTTTTCCTCGAAAGCCGAGGAACGGAAGCGTTCTCGATCACGGAGCGGCGGTTCTTCGACGGTATCGCCATATGCCTTAAAGTTAAAGTCTTTTTAAGTTTTGCTTCTTCTTACGTTTCTTCACTATCGCCAAAATAGAAGACAGCGCGCGATACATAGCTATATTTCAGAAATTCAGACAGTTTATGCTCTATTAATGCGTTTATCAGATTTAGCGTGTATCATTATTAGTTCCCACGTAATTATACTCTAAAAATATCGTAGCTATAGCAGAAAGTTCTAAAAAAAGTCTTAAATACATCACAAAGACATTTATAAAAGACGACATAATTTTTTAAACGTTTTTCAGATGTATTTCAAAAGCTTCTGCTCTAGCTGGGATTTATCTCTAAACAAAATTATAAGCTTGCGCACTGTTGTTTATAGTATCAAATTTATTTAGTATCAAATTATACTCAATTTAAGTAATTGTTAACCATTCCTCTAGGTCGAGCATCACTGCTCCTCAATAAAATGTTAATTTAACTAAACCAATGAAGTTAAAATAATAGATACTGTTTTGTACATTTGATGGACCTGGCAAGCTTATAATTACATTTTCTATAATATATGTTATTTATAAGCAACACATTAATGTACGAAAATTGATAATTAATTCTCATGATGTAAGTAGACTGATTATTCTAGAGTTTTATTGATAATACTTTAGTGACGTATTTCAATAATATGCGTCAAATGCGTGATCTTAGGTAGGTAACTGCAATTAAAAACCTACAGTCATCAAGCTTCGTTAAATTTTTACACGTTAATGCCGCGTCTGTCGGATAGGTAGCGCTAGTGTCGCGTGACACCTGCCGCAGTCGCGTCCGATCAGTCCGGTGACTCCGATGTATATCGCGCGTTGGTCACGTAGGCTGGTTTCCTATCATTTTCTTGATAAGATTGTAATTATTGTCAGTGTTGATTGCCGTAAGCTCGCGGATCACTCGTCAATTAGTGCAACGATCGCCGTGCGGAATTCGCTGGCGCGAGGAATATCGGTAGGTACGAGAGGATTCTTCGCTATCAATTCCTGTCACCTTTCTAACCTCATTCCTCCAAGTTTCTGCTCCGCTGCTCCGTATTTCGAATCCGTAGTTGATTCGCCGAGCGTATGATTAACAAAATCTGATGAGCTACGTGAATGCGAACAAAAGTGCGAGATATTCTCTCGTAAAAACGTACACTCGTATAACCTCTAAATTTATATTTTCTGCGTTGTATGTTTGTGTTTATGTATGACTTGCCGTTATAACATTGTCAATAAGTTTTTGTTCTTTTTGCATTCAAGGTCCGTCGTTGGCAAGCTGATCTAATGAGCCATTGATGATGGCTGACGCGCCGTCAGTCATTAAAGACGCAGAAGAATCAGGGAAACCAGATGATCCTACGAAGAATTATGAATTCGACGGGGAAACGTACATCTATACCGACAAGGCAACGAACATTAGCTATAAGTTTGACCAAGAGAATAATAAATGGATTGTGAAGGAAGACAATAAAAGCTCCGATAGTAAGAACAGCTCCGACGGGACGGAAAAGAAGGAAGACTCGGGCCTCGAAGCTGGCGCGGCCGATACTTTTGGCTTTGAGAACGACACGCACACTTATACAGATCCGAACGATGGCAGCGTATACTTCTGGGACAAGGAAAAGAACGCCTGGTTTCCGAAAGTTGACGAGGACTTTATGGCCAAGTATCAGATGAGCTACGGTTTTACGGATACGAGTACACCGCAGGCAAAACCACCGGAGCCGAAAGAGCCTCCGCCCTCACAGAAAGCCAAGGAAGACAAGGAGCAGAGGAAAATGGAGGCCAAACGAAAAGCTCAGGAACCGCCGACCTGGTTCGAGGTTGACGAAGCGCACAACACCGCTATTTACGTATCTGGCCTACCTTTGGATATCACTATAGACGAGCTCACGCAACTCTTCGCCAAATGTGGCCTCATAGCAAGGGACGAAAGGGGAAAGGACAAGATCAAGCTGTACAGAGATGGCAATGGAGAACCAAAGGGGGACGCTCTCTGCACCTACATCAAGGTAGGAATGTATGTCTTATAATTTAATTTATATGTATTGCTATAATATATAATCTATCCTCAATTTGTTTTTAATATTGCCGACAATATCGCACTGCAAAAATTGATATATCAGTATTTTATTATACATCGTTAAATACAGAGAGTATATCGATCTTATGTTGATATATGTACAGACGAAGCGAGAGATGAAAAATTAACGAACACACGAATGGATAAAAAAATAAAGATACCACACAAAGAGTTCCGTCCAGCTTTTTGACTAACTAACTGCGATCTGACTGCAATTCATTTATAAAAACTATGCACTATATGATTAGCGATATAAACTAATATCGCTGATACATTTTGATTAATTATTGTAGGATTATAATTTATTGCTTATTTAATTCGCGTGTCGTGATCTGCCGCGCGCGAAATTGTGACAAGTGTCCACAACGTGAGATATTTTTATCGATACATGAACTCTTACACGCGTTACAGTTAATTAATCGTGCAAGATATTGCTTAGCAAAATAATTATTGAACTAGAAGAAGATAGTTCTAGAGAGATGATTAATTTTCCTTAATGATATTACGCGATATAGATAAGTACACGGAGACTATTTAGACGTCAGTAAATGCGGTGGCTATAATATTCGGATCATTAATTAGATCTCATCATTAACATCAATAGATCTATTCAGAAACTTTGAATATTCAGACCACGGGCGCCGTTAGTCGGGGTGGAAGGGAGGAGGATGCGTTCCCCTAAATATATCCGCAAGTACATGATAATAATTAATGCTTACATGTGTAACCTTAAAATCCTAACAAGTTTTTTAAACTGTATTTTTTTATTTTTTATTTATTTATGTTTTTTTTTAGTTTCCAAAGTCTCCCCCAAAAATTTATAGCTAACAGCGCCAGTGCAGACAGATGAATCTCTTGAAGAATTTATTTCGAGATTAATTTTAGTCATAAAATAATTTTCTTACGATCTTGCAAAATTAATTTTTACAACAACGGTCATAAATAATATGTATTATAGTAAAATAACGTTGGCAGTTTAACAGTGTCGTTGTAGTAAAAGTTTATCCTTTAAATGGTGTTTTTTCTCTTAGCTGGTGTATATTATATAACAGAGCAGTAATAAGTCGAGGCTGCAATTATAACTAATTATATCGATATAATGATTCAAGTTTTTCTTTCACGGCTTCAACAAAACCTCTTCCCGCGCGAAGTCGTTTATTTTATTATGAAACTGCGTGAGAACGTTGTTCATATCCGCTAAATTCTGGGATTGATGCCCGTTGGCTAGAAAAGCGCCGTATTCTCGACCTTGGGGCAATACTTGGGCAACCCTTGGCGCAGCTGATTGCACACGGGTTCTATTCGAGCGATGCCGCGTGCGCTCTTTAGGCTGCATCATCTTCACGCTGTCAAAAAATTATTTTGAAAAGATTATTAATTGTAAAACACTTTAATTGCTAGGTATTTGTATGCTTGAAAATTTTTAAAAAAATTTTTAAACATATTTTTTATGTTAAACTTAGTTTAATATGATGGTATTAATACTTAGAAGGTGGTCGCGATCCCAGTTTAACACCATGGGCCCATTGTTGATTCTCTCCCTGATCTAACCAATTTCTTCTCGAATTACCGCGATTCTTCTTCCTTTCACCCTGTTTCCTCTGTTCGTCTAAATACTTCTTGCCCTTCTTTCTGGGCTTTAATCTTTGGTTTTGCGGCGCGAAGGGGTCCGACTTCTTGCGTCTTCTGGCTAAAAATGTCGCGGACAAATTCAGTTACATTTATATCGGTAAAGTTACGTTATGAAAGCTTTTTCTGCTGAATGCTGCGAATGCATTTCTCACCTAAACGACCGGCGGGCACTTCGCATATATAATGCTTTCGTTCCACACAACTTCTTGCACTCCACTTATATTTCAACGCGGGATCCATTATTATACAATGCCACGCGTACTTCTTAGATCTCCCGGGCTCCATTTTCCCGAAACTCTGGAAAACCATCTTTTCACCTGTTACACCCCACTCCCAGGCCATCTGTTGCCAGTTGAAAATTCCGCCGATCCACCGTTCCAGTTTCGCTGTCGATATTTTATAGATGCAATTAAAAATTGAACGGGATATAACAATCAGACGAAACGATAATAGCCTATCTACTTACTGAACTGATCCCCCATCAGGTACTTCCTCAGCATCTTGTCCTTTCCATTTCTGTCCAATATCGCCAGAGTAGCATTTCTGTCCTTGCAGTGAAAGTACGCGTCTCTCCATGGTGCCGTGCCGGCGCTCAGATAATAACAAAATCGCTTCAGTCGAAAGAATCCCACGGGACAGGCGAATCGTCTCACGGGTTCATACTGTCGCAGTGTTATGGATTGATTAGTCAAAGGACTAATATCAGAGTTCGACGACTTCAGAACGGCCGAGGATAAACCTAAAAAAAAAAGAAAGAAAGAAATCAGATATGATAATCTCATTATATCTCGCCAAATTGTGACTGTTTCATATTTTTAGATATTTGGAAACATATCTTAGGAATCTAGAGGAACAGAAAAAAACCTCAACAATTTTGAGATTTTTTACTCAATGTGATGCCATTTCTATTATAATTTTCGTATTATAAAATGTCAAGTTGGCGTCCACCATATTTACGATTTTTATTTTTACAATAATCGCCGAAAAAAGAATCTTTTTAAACGTACTAGATACTCGAGGACTCTTTGAGGAAGAGAGAGTCAGAACTTTGTAACTTCATAATATATTGCAGAAATGCTAAAAATGGGATGCTGACTTCACAAAGGTGCGTTACACTCTTCTGAGATCAGTAACTTTCAACAGTTCTATTTTGACGTGTGTTTCATGTTCTGATAAATCTTTAAAAATGCACATTTTTATCTCTTACTTGTATAATTTATGCGCATAATTGAAAATTTATCGCGTTCCGAGTGAATACATTTTTGTTCCGTGGCCTTGAGCGGAATTTAAGCATTATGTAATGCCGTCTGCGGTTTATGCGTGACTAGGCGCCACCATTGCATAGTCGAGATATAATATCGAGCATTATAAATTATTGAGCATTGTCTCGTAAAATAGATTATTTAATCTATCCTCCGCCTCTCGTATGACAACAGATTTGCAACGCTCTCAGGTTATCATTTAAATGTAAATGTTCTATTTCGAGGACACGCCCGCATTTCGTCGTGCGACTTCTGTAATCTACCGGGGTAAACTTATAAATCATATCTTTTATCTTTGTATTCATGTGTATTCATCTCGGGTGTATGTTATATGTTTACGCGATTTTGTAGACTTTGCTTATCTGACAAGAAACAATGGAAAGAAGCACGGTGTTACATCGATGCCTCGTTATTGAAGGAAAAAAAAAACGAATTTCTGTTCGTTATAATCTTACCGTGATCTAAGTACCTGCGGGACATTCGATTGTTTCGATCGATTGCAATTTTTAGGGCGTGACAGGTCCTTTGAATGAAACAGACCGTATTAAATAGAACAGCTTTCTATGATAACGATACGCGATATCTGATGCGCGCATACAATAGGTATACCGTTATCTATAATCGACATTTGATGTCAAGTTAAAGTGCCAGTTAATTAAGATCTCAAATTGCAAACGATTCAAGAGATTTTAAGGATCTCGTGCATCTCGTGTAATCTATGTTCCTGAGAAGGTTTAACAATTTCGAGAAAGACATGCAATTCGCGACTTAATGATTCTATGAAAGACTATAGCGGAAGAGGATTTGTCGGGTGTGTGCCAACGTTTATTGCAGATATAGCTATTACGAAAGTAACATATATATAAGCAGCGCAGCAGCGATATGTTAGCAATGATTATTTGTCGTACATATCCAATTAATTATTCAGAGATCCATCTCCGTGAGTCATCGTCGCGTAGATGAACCTCGTGGCGCGCATGTCACCATTAAATTCCATTTATGATACACAACCAGTATCGTATGCCTATTAATAAATACCAGGGATTTAACCTTTCCGCCCGCAGGGTTCCAATATGGAAAACACATTCTCGTTCGCACGACAATTACGCGTATGAAAGGACCGAGCGCTTTTATCGAAGCTCGTATCCACGCAATCCAGCAATTCGTAGCGCGGGGTAATCGATGAGGTAAACAAATTGAAGTAAGTGGAAAAAGCGTATTAGGCCTCGGTAAATCTATTTAAATCGGAATAACGTAACTACTTTAATATATCACGGTATCAGTTTTGACCTCGATAATAAATGACGCGAGGTTAATGAATTGGAAAGCAACTTTAGCCGTTCTTTTTTTTTCCTTTTTATTATCTTCGTAATGAGCAAGAAAAGTCAGATTACGAAATAGAAAAATAACGTGTTAAAAGTACTTTTCAGTACTTCGAGATTGAACGCATGGCGTTCAGTAAGGTTTTTTTTTCGTTTCGTTAAATTGTCATTTTACGTACATACTTCTCTTGGACAAGATTATCATTCAAATTGTTAAGTAGGTAGCGCAAATAACACCCGCTGTTTTGTTCTAAATATAGCTAAATTATTCTAAATAAATTTTATTCTAAATTTAGGTTCCTCTTATGTAATCTTTTAAATGGTCATTTAATTGCTGATGGTAGAGTCTTGATTTTAAGCTATGATACACATGTACAAGTATGATATACTATAGACCGTAGATTTAAATGGGTCAGTATCAAACAGTTAATCGGTTAGCTAATGCCCGGAGCGCATGTTAAATCATAGCGATTGCACTGAAAGCCCGTTCGAAGCGTTCAAACGCACATTTACACACGTCAGAATTCTGCTAGAACTGGTTTCTACGAACAATAAAAACCAGTAGCACTGTCTACAATTCCACGCCTCTCATAATTACTGTATGATCGATTTTAGTTAGTCACCGACTGAAACTAGCGCTGCACATATGTACCGATTTGAATGAGCTCTATGGAAAGCTTCACAATCGTGGTTAAATATAATTGAAATTTTTAAGAAATAAAAATATCCTTGGTTAAAAATGTTGTAAAATTGTTATAAAATTCACGAAATATCCTTTGCCGGAATTTTCTATGCGTCCAACTGCATGTGAATTTGCAAACTATGCTAAAATTTGCTCCGGCTTTGGACGCCGCGATATACGACTTGTTTTAAAATGCGAGACATAACAAACGAGATGGTCAGCGCGTATGTTGCATATTTCATTTCGGCGGAAAATTCAGGTTCCGAGAGACCGTATTTAAATCTCTAATGTGAAAATTTATCCTGATTTCCTAGTTTTTAGAAAATATGATTTGGTACAAATGTTAGAATTAGAGATTTTCTGTGTTTCAATGTTTTTTATGTACTTAAAAATTAAATTTTGTAAAAAGTTGTTTGGCCGGAATTTTTTTTTTAGAAATATCGCATTTATCAGTCGGAAATAATTCATTTTTCTCTTGTCAAATTCGCACATCCTTAGTATAACATATGCGTTCTCTTATCACAGGTGCGCAAACTGGTGTCTGATACCGAAATAACTGTTGCGTTAGTGACAGAAAATACTGTGCAAGTAGCGGCAGCTTATTCATACATAAATATTCAACCATATAGGAAGTCACGTAATACTATTTTTTCTATTTATGGACGCGTAAATGTGCAATAATAGATAATTGTTTTTTAGAACTGACATTAAATTCTTGAATAATTAATATTTTCATTCAAGAAGAAAATGTAGAACGTACGAAAAAAAATATATGAAGTAACTTCTATTTTGTTAGCGATTTTGTACGAACGTATAAATTGTCACGTAGTTTATAGGAATTGCAAATATCACGGGTCACAGTCGATAAACTCGCATAAACATCTAACGTGCGCTCAAGAGCTAGCTCGAATTACTTAAAGTTAAAATTGTAGTTGAAGTTGATAATTCTCGTTTGCAGCACCCATTATCGATAGCGTTGCACGATCGTGTTATAACCTTCGAAGAAAGGTCTCGCGAGTTATCCGATATATTTTCAAGCTCGTCTAATCGACTGATATCGATAGTCGACGACAGGAAATTTATATTTATGGTGTATGTACTGTATGTCTACCCACAACTTGCGCTTTCATTCATACATACGTTTATGGCACAAGGCTAAACCTCGGGTGGCTTGGGTGGACATTCTTCTCATATTTCCAGAATTTATCGCTGCTTTCGCGAACGAACTGGTATTATCGGTAATTGGTCAATTAACCTTTGATTTTTATTCGCCACGTTGTCAAAGAGAGTTGATCGATTCAGGTGAATTATATAAACTTTTATTCGTCGTAAATCGTAAAGGCTGCAGTCGTTCGACTGTAATTAATTGTTGAATAATTAAATCATTTTTATTCAAATAAAATTCATAAATTCATAAATTTCTGTATGAAATAAAGTTTCGTCGAATCATATATATCAATGATATACAATTTCTTAATATAAGAATTATATCATTGACTAATTTTGAGTTTCTAAATTTGTATGCTTGCTCACAGATCTGATTTGATGGTATCGTTCTGTTGGTATCGTTCCTGCCTAGATTCGATCTCGCGAAAATAGATCGCTACGTCTGTTCAGAAACTATATGTTTGTTAGACTAGGACACGTGTGTGTTCCGATCGTTAATTTATTCGCGGTTTCCATCAGAAAATGCACGGTAAAATATGCGCGTCCCGAAACTGTCTGCGCAACGTTTCACCTGCAAGCCGTTTAATCTTACATGCAGAAATTTCACATTCGTCTCATATAAAGTATGCAGCTCGCATTTCTTTTAAGGTTCGCTTCGAGCTTTTATTGAACTTTAGCGCACGGCGGCAGTTAAATACAGCTTTCTCGAGAAAAATGTGAATAAAACAACGTCAGGTTAAACAGGATTAATAATCAAAGCATTTTTCTCAGAATAGGAAATCTTTTCGTAAGAACATAGTGTGTTGACTTAATTCTATTATAACAGACTGCAGTTACTTTTGTTTATTTTATATCTGTGCCACATTCAGAATTTTTTGTTTAACGATGAAAATTGATCATATTTATTAGCGATATTATCACACAATTTTCAAATTCATGCAAATAACAATTATAAGTTGTATCTTCGTAACTACCGATCTATATTGGAACTGTCATTAGGCTGCCAATTAGCAAAGCGCGTAACTGCTAATAGGTACAAACAACTCAATAGTGTCTCAGCATTGAGAGATATTTGTTCACGATTACGTCTACGCTTGGTGAATTATTCTAAACATAATCAAGATGTTAATTTATATTTAATATTTTTTTCAGTTTGCAAAACAGTATTTCGGTTTTCTGTTAATTTATATTAACTAATAATGATCAAATTTGCCGGAAAATGTTTTATAAAATTATAATAGACATTAATTCGGGTACTATGATTGTTTAATTGATATTGCCCACATTTCGGCAACAAGCAAAATTACACAGGGCACCAGATAGATTAACCGCAAGGTTAAATACGGGTTAATTATATAATAATACCCGAATTGTGTTATTACGATGGGAATCATAATTGTAGGAGGGAGGCACTGATTCTCTCCCTTTAAATGATCCTTCATTACTGTAATTTCGTTGTTTCAATACAATTGATCTCCGAACATGCTGATGGTATATCCATTATAAATTGTTATACTCTACGTGTACATTTTTTTTTTAAACAATACTTTATTCCGCAAATTTTTAATTAGAATTATTTACATCTGAAAAAGATATAGCCATCTTTCTTATTACCTATCTCTTCGGATTAATCGCGCGCTGAAATCTCTCCGTGTTTACCCACTCCCCCGTACGCCGGATCGTCCCTCTCATCGGGATCGTCCGCAATCTGCTTAATCCACTTTGCACACTTTAAATTAATTACCTGCGACGCACAGAAACAGGGCCCAACACTTCCACATGTCTACTCCGCACGTCGTTTATTCGCCGAGGTGCTCGATACAGAATTTGCAATATGCATGCAGGATCGTCCTCATTCTCGTTCCTTGAACCTCGCCTCTCTTCCGATTTCACACATTGGTAATCACCGGTTTCGTCAGATCCGCGAAGTCGCGCGGGAGAAAAAAAATCGGCTGGTCCGATTTCACACCCTTCGTCTCTTTTTCTTTTTAAGATCAATTAAGATATCGTGTCGTTAGGGTCTAACCAGACTGTCGTCGATCCGGACGATGGGGGACCGTTCTGCGGCGGAGGTTCGCGGCCGACTGAAGCCGCCGCTTCCATTCCGCTCGGCGCGTACCTTCGCGCGCTCCGAGCTTACGAGCGGAATTCTCTCGCGCGCCTCCCCTATCGCCCAGACGCTACCGTGATCCTTTTCCCGATCCCAAGGAGCTACAGATCTGTCTGGCTTACCCTGATTTCGTTCAACGCGAGTGCGCTTTGCGCAGTTAAGGAGATAACTGCATTTACGCTTTCGCATATTCCGCTTATTTTCATAATCATCTGGGACGTTTTTTGTGAAAAAAATTTCTCGTAAAATATATTTAGCGATTTGCATGTATAATAGTTACTTCATATGTTAGAGATTTTACGTTTCATTAACAAAATGTTCATTAGAGCACTTTTAAGTTTGCATTCCTTTAACATCTGCCATTTGCCTTGATTAAGGTGATTTCGAAATAGCGGAATCTGTCACTGTACATGGCGTACGAACGCAATTTAATATAATTTCCGTTCACGTTTTGAATACTACCAAACGCCTTAAGACTCAAGGATGCATGAACTTAGTAAGCGTAGAGCGTGCGATAATTGCGCGTCAACGATATAGGAATTGTTGAACAAACTCAACGTAGCTGCGTCGACAACTCGCAAAATGTTTGAGAAACTGCGCTTCAACAAAGCTGGAGTGCCTCAACACACTACGCTCAATATCGTAAAACGAAGCGTAGAATATATAAGCATTAGTAACTTTGCAACAGAGAAGGTTTCAGCACCACTCAATGTCGAGAGTATTTTATCAGCAACGAGGATTTGGTGAATACAGAACTGGAACTAACGAATTATTATTATACTTTCCTGGTTCCATTAAATAACGTAGAGTTATGCAAAAAGGAATATAAAGCATAAAGTAATTACACTCAAAAGCGGTCATTTGTTATTTATCACGCTCATAACTTATAATTAATGTAAAATTAATCAAGCTGTATAGAAAAATTATTCACCAATAACACTTTCGACACTTTTGTCTATTGATTAATCATTGAATTATATTTGGATGGCAGGTTGTTACTTGCAATAATTATAACTTGTAATTAATTGAGTAATGAGAGGACACGAGATTGTGTGTGTGTGTGTGTGTTCCGTCATTGATAAATTCTTACATATAATACAACTTTATAATTAATTAACGATATACGTAAGACTAAGAATGAAAGCGTGACGATCTCAAATTGGGCGTATACCCACTTCTAAAATATCATTGAGACGAGATCTACCAGACGAGCGTTTCCGTTTAATGGCAGACTGCCAATTGGGTGCATTAACGTCTATCTGTCCGATAGTATCTTTTGGAGAGTTAACGTCCAAATGGAGTTGATTAGAATGTAGTAACGATAGTAAGCCAGGAATAGCAGGAAATGTCAGCAAATAAGTCTGAGATATTGCGAGGCTAAGAGCGCAATTTGCCACCGTCGAATCAGATTTCGCGAATCTTGAGCTTTAATTATTCCTACCGGTTTATCGCGCTCGGGAAGATTTAGCGCAGTGCAGGAAGTATGTTGAATACACGGTGCGCTCGAAAAATATATAATGGATTCTAAAAATCCTACTATCGCGTTGCGTGTGTCAGAAACGCCGCGTCTGTTCTAATTTTATCTCTGAAAAATGCACCGACTGCACATTCGTGATATAGCTATTATGCACTTCATACGACGCCCTTAGTCACTATCGCGGTTGCATAATTTAGATAAATCCACTCGTTTCTTCTTCTCTCGTACGAGAGACAGCTATTTTTGCATACGCTTTCATATCATCGCAGTAACTATAAATAGTGACAGCTTTCTTATAATAGATGACGGTGACGAAATCGTTAAATAATATATTCCAACTTTTGAATATTGAATATTTAATCGCGTTTAAACAATCCACTTAAATACTGCGCGTTCAATGTTGGAATTAAAAAAATATTTCGTATACGTTTGCGACATCAAAGCACGAATTTTTCTTCTGCTTTTTTACACATGTAAATGCAGATCGTGTTTTCGCGGGTGATGACGGGGGCGATGTTACATTCAAACTACTATGACGGCGATTCATTTGCGCATTCCTGATGCCTTTGAAAGGCACACCGGGAATGCTGCAATTCGCGGAATTGCAATTTGGGGTGGGCTGAGACGACTGCGTGCCTGAAATCACAACGGTACGATTGACAGATTCAAGTAATTCTAGATATTGCGTCAGGCATTATGGAGATGTAGATGCGGCGGTCATGTTTATGGCTTGAGAATCGCCGTCGCCATACGGTTACGTCAGTATAATGTTATGTTGAGTTATAGCCACTTAAAAGCGTTAGCTCATTTTTTCGCACTTAAATGATCTTATCAGTAAATTTCCTGAATTTCCACGCTCTGAAGCTTACGCGAATTAATCCTTCTTTCAGCGAGTTTTTCTATCAATATCTATAAACAAATATTTAAGACAAATGTACTTTATTCTTCAACAAGTTATATAGGTCTTATTTGCAATATTTCATGTTTATACTACACACAGATCTCAGTAGCATAAATGAGAAGATAACAGTAATTCTATTCTTGACCAAGTTTCCGTATCGGGCAAGATCACGTGTGCTCCGATTGTACGTTACAAGCATTTCTAAATTTCTCTCTCAAGGTCAGAGGAGTAAGTTATAAAATTGTAATTATATAAGTTATGAAATTGTAAATAAAATGTACGATATTCAAGGAAGCTTGGGGCAGTGCTCCCCAAAAGTTAATCATACGTGTGCGAATAACAAATCATTGCCATTTGCCAATGTAATTGAACCGTCGGGAGCTCCGATCTGAAGCTGTCCCGACTAGATTTACACAAGCGGGTGCGTTCTTCTTTCACGTAGTACGTACATTTACCGCGAAAGGAAGCGATCGACGCTTTCGCAGGAGCGAGAAGGTCAGCTACGTTATACATCATTAAAACTGCATGCTGTAAGGGTGGGATATGCAATGTGCCGTAGGGAATATTCGAAGAAGTCAGTTTTTATTGGTTATTGAAAGAGTTGAGTAACATTTCATTCAGCATCCTCGCAATCGCTTTAGTCGTCAAAAGGAAAGATCGAGACGTCTCCGCTGTCGGCGACGCTCATATCCATTCATGAGACGTTTGGTCTTTTTTTTTTGTCGCGAGGAAATTTCACCGGCATAAATTCGCAATTTGCAAAGCCGTAATTTCCGCGACGTCTGTCGTTATTTAAATACCGAAGTGTTAACAGTTCTTAATTGTGCCGCCGGGGCGAGCTCGCCCGCGGCGCACATACGACAGGAAACAAAACGACGATTTTTACGAGCGCTCCCGTACGCGCTCGTGCGCACTTTAGATCGTATGGAATTCCGGAAACCGGTTTTGCAAAATGTGCTGCGCGTATATATGCGCTCGCGACGCGCGTAGTGTCGTCTCGTAGGAAAAGAGAGACGCTGCGCCTAATATGGAAAGGGTTTTATCGCCGGAGTTTCTGTGGTTTCGATTGGAAACAATGAAATGAAATGGCGAAGGCATGCTTGTCTCGTCGGGAGGCAGCAGTTAGAAGAAACAGATATTAAATGAATGACTTGCTAGAACCTATAAGGTCAGATCAGGATCAATTCGTATACTTTATTGCGTTAAAAGATTTATACGAATTATACTCTTTGCGAGATTGATGTCAATTCAGTACCTACGGAAGAGATATAGACAGATTTCTATTTTTTAATTAAATTCATATGCTTTGTATATATATGTATATTATACTATATTACGCTCCTCGTGCGCCGCGCCGCGTTGCTAGAACAGCAAATTATTCTAATTTGAGCGGATTTTTGTCGATCAAAATTCTATAACTCTTAGTTAATTCGAGAGACATTCAGCAGCTTCCCGCGGCGTTTATCTGCAAAGTGAAATGTATCCCGAAATACGCATCTCAAGGGAAGTGAGCTGGTGCTGGCTGGTACCACTCAAGATATCGGGCTGCAAGATACAGCGATATATTATTATCTAGCAAGAGTAGAAAATTATAATGAAACGTTGTGCGGCGTGTTTAATGAAAAACGCTTTATCGATTTTAAATTGCATCTATTTCTTGCATCGTATTTCGATTTAAATTCTCTCCATCAAAAAACTACAGAAGTGTTTTATATAACAACTTCTTGTTACAACTCTTTTTAAGTTAAGGATCTCTTGACTGGCACCGTAATTTCGCGAGGCAAATTAGGCTATAAAAATTCGGCGTGCGCATCTCCCGCGAGGACACGTTCGGTTAAAACCGTAAACTGTAAATTGGCCACGATGTAATGTAACTTACATGCGCGATCGTCGAGTGTAATTGGCTGACTCATCCCTGGAATTTCGTGCCATGCCATGCAAATTAGTGGGACAACCATGATCTTAAATGTCAATAGCGTAGGCGTAGCGCCAATCATTCTGATGATAATTCCGTATGATGCTTCAGTTGAGTCAGCGTTCCGCGCAATGTATGCACAATGTACACCTCGTCACTTGTACCGTCTTTAAATCAACGCGGCGTCAGCACGCCTTATCATTTAGCCCTCGTTCCTGCTCGCGTCTAAAAATAACAGAATGAGTTAGGAAGGCAATGAGATATCGCTGTGTATGCATTAAGGGAGATTTTTACCCTCTAGTCAAAACAGAATTTAAAATGATCTTCCGTCGTCACTAGCTTCTCTCGCCACAACCTCTCTCTCTCTCGAGTACAAGTCTCGAGTCTTCTTTAGTGTGTTCCTTAGCCTTGCACTTCAACCTGTCTCATCACTTATGGAACTTGTGGTTATTGGAATGCGAAATATGCAGAACTATGAAACAGTGTCGTCGACGGTGCTAAGCTGTAAGCATCGAAGACGATCGTTTTCTTATTCATACAGTTGATTAGATAAAAGGGGTTTCTGGAAAGAAAACATTTTTTCCCTAGATCTGCTCTTGAACGTTTTAATGAATTGTCACGTCGCGTTTGCAGCCGCGGCATTTAATGCATCTCGGCGTGAAATTTGGCCGAGCGCCAGCAGCACGGTAATGATAATAGACGCCGGCTAACTATAGTTGCTTAGGGGGAACGTCAGTATTCATCCCGAAGCATGTTAGAAACACGACATCTCACAATAATGATGATCCATGGCGCCTCGAAATCTTGTCGTCTGTCATTAATCAACGTTACACGCAGATAAATGGATGTTTCAGATGCTATCTTGTATACGCACGTAGCGTTTTGCATCCATTGAGCATCTCGTACTACGATAATGCAGCCTGAGATGTTTCTTCATTAATTTATTTAATGAATTTTTAAATCGATATGTTACATACAATGCAATTACATCAGTTACGGTCATTAGTCATTCAAGAGATCGCATCACGATGTTTACATTCGGAGAAGCTTTATCTTATCGGGAAGCACATTCGCAAGCGGTCACGTAATTGTCTAATTTATGTATTCTTAGTACGTTAGCTGTGCGACTACACCGAGGGGAAACTCGAGAGCTAATTAGCACGTAGATGGACAGTCGTGAAACGCGAAAATCGTTAACCAGCGTATCACACTGCGACATTTATGTGCGCTGTCTGTAAATGTGTTAACAAATGGAAGATCAACAGAGAATTTGAATGCTCTTGTCCGCCGCAGGATGTCTGAGAATATTTTCCCAAGACGCGTGACTGCACCACTGACGATTGTATCGCGTCGTGTGTTACGTGTACACCGAGACTGGAGGAGAACGCGTGTAATTTAACGTGAACTGGATGCGAGGGTATACCGTAATTGCGGTGATCTAACATAGGCCGTGTTGCGAGATGACCGCGCCGGGAGCTGCGTCTGGGTGGTCGAGGGACCTGACCAATAAGTCGAATCCCATTGGTAGCTACGACCGAGTCACGGGGTCTGGAAAGGCCAGTCTTTAAGAGATCGTACCCATAAAACTAAGCATTTTAATCACGGCTGGGCGTTTACGCGCGAACAACGATGATCTATATGTCTGTGCGTCGACCGTGAAGATTAACTATTTCGCGCGTTATCTAATCGATGTACGGATGTATATAACTGCAATGTGCTCTCTCCTCCTTAATCTCGTTCAGCAGAATGCTTGTTTAAGTTAAGCGTTTCCGAGAAGTTTACCTTAGCAGAGGAAAACAATTATTACGAATCGCGTAATTATTTCCTTGACATCACGTAAATGCTTTGACATGTGTCAGAACCGCTGGGACGGCTGCGGTCGAGAAATGATACTGGTTTCGTGACGTGAGACAGATCTCATGCCACAGGAATTGAGAAAGGGGGATCTCCTATTTAAATCACTTTTGCAAGTCTCCTGTGTGGAGATGATGACGTCAACAGTCCACGTCGCTTTCCGCTCGCGTCCCACCAGCTAAAGGGCTAAGCGAAAGCGAGACGTGTTTTAAAAGAAAAAGAGTGTGGAGCCTTGAAGCTGTCTGGCGCGTGGGTGTTACAGGATGATGCATGAAAGAAACGGCGAGGCCCTTTATGTCCGCAGGTTCTTAAGGTGTGTTTACGCGACTCTTGTTTCTCGTGTGGATATCCTTGAGTCTCTAGAACCTCTTACGTGAGTGATGAATACAAGCATCGAAATTCGTAGCCGATTACGATTTTCTCTCTATACGTAACTCTCTCTCTCCCCACGAAGATCGTATTGTTATGAAATAGCAAATTCTCGTGCTGTAACAATTCGACGAGTGATCGAATCGAATCGAACTTGAAATGATATTCTCTACTTTCAGCGGTTCGGTTGACAATAGGATCGGAGGAGAGGGGCGGGGGGATCATTTCGAACCTAAGAATTTCGCTTAAGTGGGTCGACGGTAAATCACTGCGAGTGCCTTTGAATATTTCCCGGAATATGCTATGCTCGGTTTCTCGATCTCGAGATATCGAGCGCGGTAGGGAAGCTATATATTTTTCAGGTCATCGTTACAAGGGAGACTTGTCTCGGGGAGATCGTTACGTCACTCGTTTTGTCGCGACATCGCTCCGTGTACATATTTAGATAGTCGTCATTCTAGTCACGCTTGCTTCATCGTGTATTATCACGCCAAATGCATATGAAACAAGGACCGGCCGTTGCATTATGCAGAATGTCGCGAGGTATTCAACCGCCGAATTCAAGAATGGCAGAATTTTATCTCGTCGAATATATCGTCACAGCGTCTCTCTCCCCCGAGAATTTCCGTTGCTATAAAAGGTATTCTTATTTGTCGTGCCTCCTTTCTTCGTTCGAGGGAAACGGGAGACAGTTGGCAAATACTTATTTCCTGTCCTATTTATAGTATCCCGTCTATGAATGGCATGAAGTCACGGTTAAAATGGCGCTAAGTCGCTCGTGTTTTACGGGTTTTGTAAATAAGCGTGACACCATTACCGCTGGAACGGTTTCGCTATTTCTGATACATATATTATACGCTTTTTGACACATCTAATGCCCAGAGCGCGAACGATGGTGCAACAGCTCAAAATAATTTCCAGAATGTTTGCGAATACGGTTGTGACCGTCTGTATATACATAGATATAGCGTTCACGTATATGTATGTATCGAAACGATAAGTTATTTAGGTTTTTACGGCTTGTCCATATACAAGAGCTCCTTGGGATTTCTTTGAAGCCATTAAGAATGGTCAGAAATATAACGTAGTTTTGACGATATAATCCCTAATTGCCGGCTTAAGTTTGGAACGCATGTTTAATTTCAGCCTTCTTTCAATCTCAGGTCTTCTGATCTTTTGGGAGAGTCATAATTTTTATTATCTCCTTTGTACAAGCTGCTAAAATTCCACTAAAAATTTTTTTTTCCGCGCAATAAAGCTTAAGAGAAAGTTTTTAAAAGAGCCTTTAAAACAATTAAATTAAATTATTATAGAAAGCAAACAACGTTAACAACTATATCCTTCCACTTAATATAACTGTTATACCGCGATAATCGATAATCGAGAAAATTTGAATTAGCAAGTTTTATTCGGAAAATTGGGTTACGCAATAAAAGGACTGATCGATTTAATTAAATGGCTACTGAATCGAGAATACACCCATTTCATAAATTCACGGCCAAACCTTTCGCATGTAAGTCGGGATTTATTTCGGCGTGAACACAGCGATTGTGTCGTGGGCGTAGCCGGTTAATAAAACGTATTCAAATTGATCACGAATCTTTTTGCCATAGACTTATCATCAACTTTATCGCGAACACATTGTCAGGTAACAATGGCACTTCATTACTTTGGCACAATAACTAGGAACTGCAGCCTATTAACGCCGCCTCTTTTACGTCCTGCGTTAATTACTTTCGGTACAAGACGCGCAAAAATTTTCTGAACAACAGGAGATTTGCCTTTTCGTTAATTCGCGGGTGATCTTTAACCAACTTGCTACTTATCAATCTTATCATCGATTATTTGATATCTGTTCTAGGTTGAGTCAGTGGATCTGGCGCTGAAGATTTTAGACGGCTCACAAATCCGGGGAAAAACACTGTCGGTGCAAAGAGCGAAGTTCCAAATGAAGGGCGCGTATGATCCCGCGCTGAAACCGAAGCGGAAAAAGAAGGACAAGGAACGACAGAAGAAGATTCATGAAAAGTGAGTTTCTACAAATTTCACTTATAAACCATCTCAAACGCGCGTTAAAACGGTTAATGCTGATCAGCACTTGGATACATATGTAATCGTGCCGAGACAAATATTTATTCCTGAAAATCTGCCAGCCCCCGTGGCTCATTGACTTTAAAGCGTGATGTCACTTCCTCTCGGGGCCGCCCCGTATAACACGCGCGCGCGACGATTCGCGTTGCAAAATCGAGATGATCACGTTTCTCCTCGGTTTCCCCGGTCCATTCATCTCTCTTTTCGCTCGCGTCCATGCGAGACGGCGTATCCTCGGGGGATCAAGATACGTTTCATCCACGGTGCATCCGCCGCCACGCGCGTGCATCTTATTAAGGTTTTCTACGCGCCGCGAGATGCACGCGTGTCGCAAGCGCAAGCTCGTTTAAGACGGCACGAAGAGAGGAGATGCCTTCGAATCACGAAGCGCGTTGTACGCGCGATTTTATACCGCGATACCGTATAATTTAGAAAAACCCTTCGTGTATATCTCTTCTTGATGCATGCCTCGTGTATAACACGTGTTGCAGTGTGTGTAAAAGGCTCTTATAATTACGCTGCCATCGGCTCCGGGTTCGCCAGCCGCCAGACTGCTTGGCGTTGGCGGTTCCGGCAAAGGCAGCTGTGCACGTCGATTACCCGCATTTAGTCTCCACCGGTCTCTCTTGCATATACAGACCAACCCAAAATTATACGGGCACGGCGCACTTCCAGGCAGATTGCAGCGGCTTAACCCGTTAATCGAAGCGTGTGATTGCGCTGTGAATGACATTGACTTTGTCCCGTGCGTGTTTCAATGTAGTAACTGTTTCGTATATGAATCGACGAAATCGAACATTTCTTGTACGATTCAGGAAGAAACTGCTTGATCTAAATGTTTGATCGAAAACGCATCCACGACGATTTTGCACAGATTTAACGGTACGATTGTAATTAAATTTAAGAGCAGTTATAATGAGATAGGTTGGAGCTCGAAATAACATGTTTTCGACGGTACTTATACGTCGTTTCTCGTGTGATTCATCTTTACCATCGATTTTAACGTTCTCGCGTCGTCATATTTCATTGTATTGCTCAATCGCGACGCATCTCTGTCGCCTCTCGTTAGCCGGCATCCTCTCGTTATCCGGCGTAGGTCGCGTGCGTAGGGTCAACGCCCTGAACTTTGCGAAAACCAGTTATTGGTGAACGTACACGGGCCCACGTTTGCCGGAAGTAGTCTTTGCAACACGCTCTTTCGACACTCGTCGCGAACCACTGTGGCAACGTTCCCCATCGGCATCATTTTTCCGAGCAATTCCGAGAAGGAGAATCGTGAGCCACGATCTATCGATCATTGCGACTGTTCTGTCACAGCTTTGACGAGTTGTTCTCGATCATGCGACTCCGGTACCAATTTGTGCTGTATCAGCGACGTTTGTCGGCATCTTTAATCTTTGAGAAACGTCATTACCCAGTATAACGATAGCAGCGTGCGGACATGATATCGCGCGAAGAATTGGGAGATGTAGAATTCTATCAGTTCGCTGTGCTATCTTTGTCAATAAGAATGATAGTTAAAGATAAATCGTTAATAGTTTAGTTTGAGTCATGTATAGTTATCACTGAGAATTTATGTGTACAGATTTGAATCCTCAGAGGAAGCATTTATACGACCTAAACGCTATTCTTGTTGTCGTATCTCCTCATCAATCCTGTGTTGTTACTTGTTTGTTTTCAGATTGTTCGATTGGCGACCGGAGCGCATGCGGGGCGAACCGCTGAAATGCGAAAGGGTCGTCATCATAAAGAACCTTTTCGCACCGGAGGATTTCGACAGGGAAGTCCAGCTGCTGTTGGAATACCAGCAGGATATTCGATCCGAGTGCCTGAAGTGCGGCGATGTCAGGAAAGTTGTCATCTGTGACGTGAGTTCTTCCTTATCTCCTCTTTATGTCTTTGCACGCGCTATTTTATAAAATGCCACTAGATTTACACGTCGCGATTATCAATAATAATTCAATATTTCTCAACTGTGATATTTTATGTTAAAAAACGGGGAAGCCACATATTGCGAATTTCATTGTAGATAGACTCATATTTGAAATCTTCATGTCGAAATCACTGTTTCTCTTTCGAACTGAAAGCGATCGACTCCTTTCCAAGAGTCGTATTTTTAGTGACTGAAATTTCACGGAATAAGCGAGTGAGGATACGCCTTCGAAAGGGGATGCCCCTAACCCCCATAAATTGGCGAGAGGCAAGACACTCCCAGTCTTTGAGCCTCAGCCGTGAAACTATTCAATGTCAAGCGCATTCCATCCGAACGACGTGCAGTGTTTCCCCCTTTTTTTGCTGATTTCTATGTCTCTTTTTATTTAGGCGCTTATGGTTATTGTCACGCTATATATCCTAATTTCTTAATATTTTCTTTAGCAATATTTACCTCATATCACTCCAAGAATGAAATTTTCATTTTTAAACCTAACCCGTAAAATTCTTCCGCGCATAGATGAGAGAAAAAGAGTATAAGTTTACTTAGATATCGCGTTGAAATGTTTCCAAAATGGAATTATTGACATCAGAAACAAAATAATTAATTTGATACTTATTAGATTTTGTTTTATTAAATAAAATATTCGGTTTTTATCGTAATGTGAAAAATCGAAGCAAAATATTCCAAAGAAATATATATGATATAGATATAAATAAATGTATATGATATAAAAATACATTACGGTTTTCCGTAACTGAGTTTTCCCTGATTAATTTTTGTAAAGCAAAAATCTGTGAAATTTAATGTAATCTCATTCCAACTATACATCTCTTTCTCCTCTTGGGCGTGAAGAGGAGAAATAACATCGGCTCCAAAAGCCACGCTTGGAATTTCATGTTCTGCCACCTAATTTACCATAAGTATCTCGTTGTCATTTTTTCTTACCCTTGGAGAGAGCACGTGTTACCGCCAATGTGTTTTCGGTGAATCATGACCCTTTGCTGTCATGCTTGTCGTAAAGTATGGTTTGTTAGAGCGGTAGCTCAAAGGATGTTCGTTGATAGTTTTATGGAATTTTAAAATGCCTACGGTTCTTCCGTATAAATGGGAAAATATAAAATACATAACTTGGATGTTGTTTTAAAATTTTTCGAAATTCCATTGAATTTTCTTAATCTCAAAAATTAACTTAATTAATTTGATCATATATGTATAAGTTTTGCTTTATTAAACGAAATATTCAACCGCACCTAAATGTGAGGAGTAGTTACAGAAGAAAGAAATTTACACAGACTCAGAAAATCCACGAATTAATTGGATTATAAAAATCTACCAATTATTCAACAAAATGGAATCGAAGCAGTAAGTTTTAATTGAAGCAATAAATTTTAATTACATTTTTTTATTAAATTACTTTTTACATTTTATTTCATGTCCAACGTTAATATATCGATTCTTGAAACGATTTGTTGTCGAAACGTGATTCAGTAGAATCGAAATCACTCTTTGTGGATCATCCTGAATTTCTTTTCTCTTTTCAGAGACATCCCGAAGGAGTAGCGCAAGTCACATTCCGAGAGCCGGCAGAGGCGCAAGCTTGCGTTCAGCTTCTGAACGGCCGCTGGTTCAGCCAGAGGAAGATCTCGGCGGAGATCTGGGACGGCAAGACCAAGTACAAGTAAGTTATTTCATTGCTGATCCCTACTATACCGGCTCCAGGGTCAATACTACCGGTAGTTGCTGATGCAGGCATCCGGAATCAGGAACCCGAACGTTCCTATCACCTTATATATGTCGTATATGAAACACTTGTTATTAAAAAATATAACTTATCGATGCTATAATATATTGATATTCTAAAAAAATATTTTGCTCGGTATCTGTTCTTGTTTTATTCACAATGTTTATTCACCGTTAAAATGAAATTGAGTGTCTCTTGTGGTATTCCAACTATTTATTCGTTGCTGGTAAAATCTGCACTTATTCAATTAGCAATAAATATTACACCATAATTGCAGATATTACTTGCGGTTAATGTATAATTGATTCACATTATTTAAAGTGAAAGATCCAGCTGTTAATATATCGAAATGTGCCCTTCAGAATTACAGAGACTGACGCGGAGATCGAAGCCCGAATACAAAAATGGGATAAATTCTTGGACCAGGAGGACGAGGAGAAAGAAAAGAAGAAGCAAGAGACGGAAAGCAGCAACAAGGAACAAAAAACATCGCAATGAGAATGCGATCTTACGATCGATAGAATTGTAATTATATTTTGTGAAGATTCTATTTTCTTCATTTCTCCCTCACCGTCATATTGCATTTGAATGTTATGCTCGAACTTTTTCTTTTGGACGTTTTAATGAGAACCTGGATGATTAATCGATCCTGTCACACCGTGGTTGAGATTATAAGTGGCTCGCAATTTTCATGGTTGAATCAGCGCTACTGTTGTACTAGTGATATATTATTAGTTGTTGCAACAATAAAGCTGTCTCTCCGACTTGTTTTCTCTCATTCCATCCACTTCCTGATATCATCGCCACATCGATCTATATTTATTGCCTTATCAATCTTTAAACCTGAACCGGTATAACAAAGACAATCATATACGAGATTACGTATGCGTGACAAAAAGGAAATAATGTGTTAAAAATACTTTATGAACTTATTAAAATTAAATATAAATTATGATAGTGCTAAGAACTCAATATATAGCGTTTATTATTTATTATCTCTTAATATTCGGTCTTGGAAAAATCATGATGAAGGAAAGGTAAGAGTATGAAGAATAAACCGTGGGAACGAGAAAGAGAAAGAGAAATGGATTCCCTTGGAATTTCCTAATTTGCTATTTCGACGTTCCTGGCAATCCTCTTTCGTGGGACTCCACCGTCGAAAGACCGTTGCTGTCCATCTATCAAAAAACGTGGTTCGCAGCATCCCTGGACCGCCGCGTTTTTTCTTCGGCGATTCGCCTGGACGAATCTCTCGTCGAAGTAATCGCCTGATCCACAATATAAACGCTACTTACCGGGAATACTTTGAACTGGGTCGACTTAAGTTAATGATCGCTCTTCTTCGTTGTTTTCTGTTGAGATTCAAAAAACTTGCAAGTTTTTCTTCGAAGATTCCTTACAGGATACTACAAAATTATTCTGAAACAAATTTTGCGAGAAAAGACTTGTAGTTTTTCATCTTTATATTTTAATATTCTTTAATGTTTAGATTTTAGAAATTCTCAGATGTTTATTTTTTAAATGTGATAATCAAAGTTCTCTCCACATTCCTAAATTCTTGTATGCTTTTCTGTCGCCAGAAAATCTTTATATTTTTCTATAATCGCTTTTTTATCGTCGTAAAGTAGTTAGATAATCAATTTTTCGGCCGACGGGCACGTGGTGAAAAAGTACAGCATCTCGAAGCGCGGGGGGTTTATTCGCGCAGTGTCTTTACATCTCGCTTCCTATTGTTTGCGGCATTTATTCGAGACCGTACCCCTCGCGATATCACGAGGGGATGAAAGCACGAGCGGCGGCATATTTCAGTTGTCCCGCTCCATTCATGATCCGGAAAGGGCAAGGGCAAGAGCGACTCCCTCCGGCAATATCACTGACAAATTTAATGCCCAGCTATTAGATAGCAGGGGGTGCACCTCGTCCGCTTTCGCCCCGTATCTATCTATTGTGGCAGTGGCCACGTGCAGAATGACTGCACGTTCCTGGTGCTCAGGCGAAAATGTTTAATCGTCATGTTTTGAGACCCCCTTGCAAAAAAACCCGACACTCTTGTCACGCTTGTCGAGACTTATTGGATTTTGACCCGTCGTTCGGACCTGCTAACACGCGAAATTCGATATCGTTTGGTGACATTGGACGCGATTTGACACGGTCAAGTGTTTGCCGGGTGCTACCCTACGACCGCGATAATTACTAATTTACTTTGCAAATAGTATGAATTAAGAGAAATAGCAGAATTTAAGAAAGATGACGAAAATTTATTTCGTTTGGAATTAAATCTTGCTTATTTTTCAAATAAGAAATTACTTTTGACATTTTCGAAAGGCGTACATAATAGATATATAAATGTAGAAAAACATTCTGATAAAATTTTATTTATTTAGTTATTTTTAAATAACCGACACCAAATACTTATATGTATATTTTATAAAATAGCCTCAAAAAATACTAATCTCAAAATAATATGCAGAATAATACGTATGTAGTATATAAATAAGTAGTATATAGTATATGAAACTTTACAGTTTGAAGAAAATTAACTTAAAAACGGCAGTTTTTTATAAATCTCCTATAAAATATCAGGCCATTTAATTGATAGCCTGAAATTTTTTTAATATTCTTCGATGGGCTCTACTTCATCAGCATCTTCGGGCTCTACTTCATCAACATCTTCGGTATCTCTCCTGAATCGAAAACCACCATTAATACCAATCGAAGGGGAGACACCGTGACCTCCTCGACCCGGCTGAAGTTGACCATGACCTCTGATGAAACCGTTGCCAAAGTTCCTCTCAGCCTGGATACCGACGTGCGGTTGCACTCGTTGTCCAGGTACTTTACCCAATCCCCC